CTGGAATCTAATTTGGGTGTGTGTTCTATGTGTAAGTAAGTGTGTGTCTATGCACGCACACTCTCATTTACACAAACAGCAAGCACGGGAAATGATAGTTGTTGGTCGCACACAACTCAAATAGGACAGGAAATGTGGCTGCTGTTTCCTGTGTCCTTGTTCTGTGGTAATGATGAGAGCAATCCTCCATACTAAACACATGGAGAAAGATGCTCACTCCTTAAGACACGCTTTGCATTGCTGAGCAGCATGCAGGGGAAGTTGGCTTCACTGTTGTTTTTTACAATGTCTACTGCTGTCCAATTAAAGCAAACTAAACAGCCAACAAGGCGTTTTACTGTGATTAAAGATGGGACAGTGATGCAGCTGCTTACATGATTACAGTCTGCACAATGTACTGTAATCAGAGTGAGGTCATTATGGCATTCATGTTAACTGTCTGCTACATTCAAAACAGAATTCAAGATGTGCTTCACTTAAACTACATACCATACATACCAAGCGATACAAAAATGAAAGTAAATTACAACTTTCTGTGCTAAACTTTTTGTAAAGTATAATGAAATCCAGAGATCAAATCTAATAATTCAACAATAATTGAGGTTTATAAAAATGTCACTAATTGTATATCATTATTTTGGCTTGTACTTCTGCTGGTAGGAATAAGTTGCCAATTACAGTTGAATGAATGAAATGGGCTATACGTCGTCACATGCACAGTTGTGGCACAAGTGTCTGTACAAACATGTCTCTTTGTGAACAGACTTTAAATAGACTTTTTTTAAAGTGCTTTGTAAAAGTACAAAATGATGGTACCATCAGCACCAAAAAAGGAACTTAGATCTCACTTTTTACTAAATGTAATGCATTAAAATGTGCTCAATAAAGGAAAACTACTCACCAAACCCATACAGGCTCTCAAGGAAAAGTTTAGAGTAATATATTTGTTTACTTTTTTGCTGAGCGTTAGATGAGATGATTAATATCACAATGTTTGTATGGTTAATCTCAAACCAAAGCCACCATCTGTCAAAATGACTTATTATAAAGAGTGGATAAGTGGGAAACTAACTAACTTGGCTGTGTCTGTAGTTAAGAAAATGCACCTGCAAGCCCCTCTGAAGCTAACTCATTTACATCATATCTCATTAGTTTGATTTGTACAAAAACTGAAATAAAGAAAACGACTAAGCAAAGCTAGGCAAGCAGACAGACAACGTTGGTATGAATCAATCATTATGTTAAATTATGCCTTCAAAACATAACTTCCTTGGTTGGTTAAATATTGATTCTGACAGTACTTTGTTAGTGGCTGTACTATAGTGTAGTGTGTCCGTCCACTGCAGGGACAGTTTGTGTTGTTTTCTGGCCGCAGTTTGTGCACTGACTTTCCACGCAGACCTTGGACGACCCTGAATGGACTAATCTTATTTTCAGAGGGATTATCATTGTTTGTGACGTAAAGGTCATCCCGTGGGGTTCTGTCCTCACAGCATGATTTGTGATTGTATAAGCAGATAGAAACACTGCGGCTTCACATCGCTAAATCAGATCACTGTTTGGGAAAGAGTTGTGGGACGGAATAATAAATGTAGAGCATCGATAAAAAAAGAGGCTTATATCATACTATCCAATTGAAGCTTGTCATGTTTTTGGATCAAACAGTAAATCCTCACAAAAAACACTGTGTCCCTGTGATTGTGTGTGTACTGTACTAATGTACGTGACAGTGTTTCGTATTATATCCTCACCACTTCCTAGCTCTGCTGCTGTATCGCTCCGTCAATATTGTTAGTTTGAAAGATGCTGACATGCTCTTGTAGTCCTTCCTCACACACAGTCAGGTCTGCACATCCTCCTTTGACCAATCAGCAGCCTGAACTGGAGTGACCCCTCAACTTCCTTCCTGCAAAATGCACAACAGGAAGGGAGGAAGGGCTCTGCTATTACAGCCTGATACAAACAAACAATCTCCCTCACACTCAACAGAAAAGGACACACTCCCTCTGTGCTGATAAAGGATTGACAATTACATTCCTACACACACACACACACACACAGATCCCTGACCTAGCAAACAAGCATGTGATCTATCAAAGGGGAGAAAATTGAAGCTAGGGTTGTGCTACTTTAGATTGTGCCCGTGTGCAGCTCATCAACCTTCACAGGACACCATGTGAGTGAGCGGCCATCATTTATCATACCAGGCCGAGACAAACTGCCCTGTGGCGCGCCGGCCCGTTAATGACACCTCGCAGCATCTTCCTGGAGCCCATCAGCCATCATTAGCCGTGCGACTGGGAGGAGTTGCTCATTACCATGCTAAGTATCCACGTGTAAGCCCCCCCCCCATCCACTTCCTATACTACCTTTGCTAGTCTAGACAATTCATAGTCAATGGGTATTATCCTCCACATTGTATTGTATTTTTGAAAAAAAAACTAAAACATGCCTGCAATTGGGGGAAAAAAAGGCATTTCTTATTCAAATGGTATCATGTCCTGTGGCTGCAATGCATTCTGGTCTAGAGGTTTTAATTAAACTGACATCGCTGCATGATTACTTTCTTTGTGTCAGATTGTTGACAGCACATCTAAAGGTTATGATTTGTTTTTGGATACCTTGTATACTAGCATGCTGATGTTTATCAGACATCTTGTATACCATCTTGGTTGGCATGCTAACATTAGCACTAAAGACAACTAAAGTTGTCAAATGTGATTTTCCTTTTTTTTGGCAATAGTAAAACTTTGCAAATAGTCCTCAAGCAGTCATACCGATTGGATTTACCCATTTAGTAGCATATGCACGACAATGAGCAGAGAAACACCTCCTCTCTGCAGCCATGGCTAATATAGTGAGTGGAGTCTCTCAGTCTAGGAGGCTGAGTCATGGAATCACTGTGCCAAAGCATGAAAACCTCACAGAGCCTCGCTGCAGACTGGGATCGCTCAGACTGCTGTTTAATTACTTCAACGGATGCACATACAGTATGAAGATTGCCTCACTCCCTTATCAATCCATTTACTGCTGCTTATCTGGGTCCGAGTCCTGGAAGAGGAACCTGAGGCGTTCCCAAGCCAGACCAGATATGTAATCTCTCCAGCATGTTCCTGGTCTACCCGGAGGTCTGTTCAGCATCCCGGTTATTTACAGGAGAGGTTAGGAGGTTATATTGTCAACAAACTAAAAGTATTGTATTGTTCCTCTCTGTCACAGACCTCCACTGTTGTCCAAAATATACGTAACATCTTACTTCATGACCAGGTCAACTTCCTTTTGCCAGAAATACTCACCAACATGCCTGATGTGTGTAAATCCAAGGCTGGAAATAGTCTCAAACTAATCCAATCCTTGTGTTTGTGTACAATTCACTTCAAAATGTAAGTTTATGACGCACTGAGAGGTCAGTTCATCCTGCCCACAAACACAGGTGTTTATAATCAGTCTGATTGAACTCTGTATACATCTCTGCCAACTCTGTCCAATAAGAAGACTGATAACAGGGTTGGAGGTCCCGCCCTAACAGGTGCAACAAAGCTAACAAGAGAGTGAGCAGAGAGGTCTCGTAAACAATGTGAAGTGAAAACGCCTTTAGTTATAAGGGCCTGGCGTAAAGGGGGTGGGGGGGATGTGAAGTTAAAACGTTGAGAATAAAGTTGAACTTTCATGGTGAGTGACCCATTCTTCTGGGCTTGAAAGTGTTGAGAGGTGGACAAACATATTGCTGTTGGAATCCTTTCATGGGATTTGCTGGCATTAAGAAAAACGTTGAATAACAATCTTTGTTCATATTATTTAGGTTCACCCATCATCAGAGTATACCATTTCAAATCCCTGGACAAAATCACAAGAAAAGCTTTTCATCACATGCATAAAAGACTCAAAAGACAAGATGTGTCCAGGACACACAAAGACATGAAATGATCTAAAACACTTGTGCAAGACTCTCATAACTATATATATGAACATAAAGAACGAAACACAGTAACACAGCAGGGGTTTTAGTACTGTGAATACCTTTAAGAAAACAGAGTGATACATCTATTTACCTTGGCACACTGTCTGCCTTAATGTATCCGCTGCAGAGAAACCTAAAAGGGAATAACTTCATGCGAATAGAGAGAAAGATTAAAAGAAAGGGGGATAAAGAGAGGCATAAAAAGGCAGATCTTCATTGAGGTGGAATCTGCTTTATCACATCAACCTGACTGATGGCAGATGCGGTGATGAAGCTTCGAGGCCTCCAGATGTCTAACGATTGCTAACTTTTCATTTAGTGTTTCCAATGTTTGCTTTCATGTTGGGTTGGGACTTTTTTTTAAGGAGGATTCACCTCCATAACATCAGCTCTCTGAGGCGTAGAGGTAGTTAGTCCTGCTGCCTCAATACACATCAATCATAATTCCTCCTGTAGACACTGCAGTCAGGCAGCAATACACATGCAATATGAGCTTCTCTGGCTGGATATCTTCCCAAATACTCTTCTGGGAGTCTTAAGCACTCACTCCTGGGCTTTGGACCAATGCTAACTGACTGTTGTTTGAAGAAAGGAGCATTTGTAGGCGCCACCTTAAACAATTCTCTGTCAAGTATTTATCAGTTCTGTCGACTCCATTTCCTATTCTCCACACGTTTATGGTTCTGTCCATGGAGCCGGTTGCAATCCACGTCATAATGGGAGACAGCAACAGCAGTCACGTACCTGCAGGAAGGACAGAGATGTGAACGATGTGTATGACAGACTTACATTTGAAGAGAAGAAGATATCTGCTTTTAAATGTAGCTTACCCTTAAAAATGAAATAAAAAACCCAGTCTTGGATCGTAAAGTATCTTAAATCCTTTCAAGCACTTCAAAGCACTCTGCTGATGCCTACCTGCGGTGCCACTTCAATGACTGTCTGGATAGTAGCGCTGGAGAATAAAATATTGCATCACTGTACCGAGGGCTTCTGGGAAAAACTAATCAAGCAAAAATCACACATTTTGATCTGAACCCTTTGACTCCTGTTTTGCTGTTTGTCTCATAGCTGCAGAGATTGCATAGCAGCGGGAGGTCAGGTCGTTTACATTTGGTGCGGTTTCAAAGTGTGGAGCAGGAGTCCCAGGTTCTGTAAACAAAGTACAAACAAACAGAACAGGATGTTTGTCATTTCAGTGTTTACAGCGGCTGGGATTTAATGTTTAGAAAGTAGTGGACTGAGGCAGCATAGCTAAACAAGAAGTCTACATTTTGTATTTGTGCTTCAATTACTGCATCATAATATTGTAACACTTTTATCCAAAGAAATGTAGAATAATAGACTAATGTGTGTTGGTAGAACTAAAATGCAACCTTCTCATTAAAGAATAATGAAATACAAAATTGGATTCAAACAAAAACACAGATTAACCTTCAGTGTGTTTGAAGTGAAGCCAGAGAACAGCAGAGAATGCAAACACAACACCAGTCCTCCTGTGGCCGGCTGAGAGAACAGCAGGATCAGTGCTCAGCAGTGGCATCTGCTGTTTACAGAACAGAACAAAAGAAGATTTTGAACACAGAGAGATCCGAGATCAGTTCAAACTAAATGTGTCCCAAATGTGCATATGATTTGACCAAGTATAATAAATCAAATGAAATTAGAAAAGATAAGTATGACAGGCACATAAGTCAATATTTAGTTGCCAAGGCAGGAGGCGTTTATCAGCACTGCCTACACACTGTTGTGTGTGTGTATGTGTGTGTGTGATGAGTGATGTGTGTGTGTCCTACCCCGAGATCAGCAGCTCTCCATCATAAGAGACACACACAAGACATAACTGGAGCTGAATGACAGGTGGGAGTGTGTAGCAGCTTCACATCAAAGGCTGAGGGAGAACACACACACACACACACACACACACACACACACACACACACACACACACACACACACACACACACACACACGCGTATATATTAATATATAGAAATACGCAAACTTTTGTCAGTTTTCCTCGTGCTGTGCCACCTGCTGACAAGTAGCACAGTTGGCAGTAAATGTGAAATATTCTCAGCTTAAGATACAAAAACACTGAGTATTATGCAGTAATACTTCATCATACAATAATCATACAGTATGTTACATCAATTGGTCTTCAGCTGCATTAAAATGATCTGTGTGTAAATACATGTGTTTCAAAATGTAAACTCCCTCCTCTCCATCATTGTAAAAAGCTGTTTTCGGGCTCTGCAGGAGCCTAATTTATTATTTGCCTGCATTCTCATTATTTGAAGTGAAGCACTCTCACATCTCAGTGAGGAAAAAACACATGATTAAAGCCGACGAAATCAAAGAGTCTACACTTTTGAAATTAAATTAAATGTGAGGTGTGATTGAAAGGGTATGCTGCTGAGTAAATTAGAAAAAAGGCTACAAATCTGACAACATGAACAATGTGACCCTCGTTGCTGAAATCCTCTGGATATGGAGCATTAGAATATGGGGCTGCAAACACAGTCAGCCAGGATGAGGAAAATGTTCCATACAGAGTGATAACAGCTGCAGGAAGGGCACCTTGCTCTCCAGAATCATCTGCACTTCAGTCTTTATGTCCTAAAACAATGCAATAGGGGTTCAAGCACGCAATCCTCTCTCATAGACAAAAGAGAAATGCACATTTCAGTTAGGCGGAGTCCTTGAACCCTCCCAACAGTAAAAAACATTATGTGAAAAATACATTTAAACAAAAACGAAAAGAGGACAGGCATTGTTCTCTGTGTTTATACAAGCTGCACAGAGATAAAAAAAAATCCCAGTGGACGCAGCGGGTCACCACGTGGGACACATCCAATCCTCCCCAGAAACGGACGTTACCACGGCAACTCATCTTAAGCACTAACAACATGGAGTGTGTTCAAACGCTAACGAAAATCCAGTCTGCAGGCAGGTTACACAACGCATGAACATACACGACATGTTCTTGTTCTGCTGCGGCTCCTACAAGATATAAATGTCACAGTGGATATACTGTGTGCACCTGACTTCTTCTCCAACTTCTACACACACACACACACTTCTCCGCAGCTGCTGTATTTCAGCAGAATGTCTTAAAGTGATCCATTATTAATGACTCAGTCTGCAGCTGATTTATTCCACACACTAATACAATTCCTCTATTCTGCAGAGCGATTTCAAGGTTAAAGCAGTCAGCAGGTTCTCTCTCTCTCTCTCTCTCTCTCTCTCTCTCTCTCTCTCTCTCTCTCTCTCTCTCTCTCTCTCTCTCTCTCTCTCTCTCTCTCTCTCTCTCTCATGGGAGATGGAGGGAGGCAGCTTTTAGCTGAGGAAGCGGACAGAGGGGTCGTCCTACCTGCTCCTTCATTCTGGGAAACAACTGGGATTTTCAGCTGGCTGTCCTGTCCACAGGAGGCCAGTCGAAACTCCACACGGCATCCGTCTGCAGAATGAAAAACAGCCACATTTCTCAATGTTCATGCTTGACGGATTTTAATATAAAAGGAAGACAAATACCCTCCAATGGCCTGTTTGTGAAGGGTGTCAACACTAGGCAAGCACCGTCTTGTATATGGGATATATATTGTGTTTGGATTAAAGGGATTTAAGGGCTTTTTATTCCCAAAACCGAAAAATAACAAACACTGTCTGACTGTCATTTTGATTTGTGGATCGAAATGCTAAAGGTTGCTTTTAACTGTCTGCTAACTGTGAAAGGATTATTTCATTTTCTGTTCAGAATGAATTTATGTTATGAACAATGAACTCGGGGAAGACTGAAAAATAAAACACTTTTTCTTTACAAACTGAAGGATAAGGGCACGCCCAAAAGACTGAAGTACTTGTGTAACTTTCTCTTTACTTAAGAAATACTGAAAATGTTCACCGTGAATATCTAAGATAGTGTTCTGTTTCAAGATACTGAAACTACTTTCATTTAATTTTCAATCTTTAAATTAGACTGTTTCTTATTATAAATCAATTCCATCCAATGAAAAGTCAGAAAAAAGACAAAAAATTATGTTTGCCAGTTTACATGATAATGTCTTCAAATGGTTTGATTAGTTTGTCCACAACACAAAGATTTTCAGTTAACAATGATTAACAGGAAAAGGTAGCTATGAACACAAAGCTTTATTAGTAAATAACATAATGAACAAAACTAGTTGCATGTTAAGACACCAATATGGATAGGTGAATAATAGGTGGAAAGGTATTTTTGGTGGCATGGGTAGACTGACCCTTTTAACACTGAAATATCTCACTGACTTTAAACTGTGGTGCAAATCTGCAGGTGACTCCGAGGTCATGGGCGTCCTTCTTGCAGGAGATCGATGTCCTGGTCCCACAGTTTGAGGTCTCCATGGGTGCAGCCGGTCACTAACATCTGGCCACAGGGAGAGAAGCAGCAGGCCATAACACTGGCCTTGCACTGGACCTGTAATAGTCACACAAACACCACCATTTTCAAACTAAGGGATACAAGACAGCAGCCTCGGGGTTCCTGTAAAAGCTGTGATCTTCTGATAAAGACTTGGTAACACATCAGCATACTTGTCTCACTGCTGGTTGTGGTTATTACTCCCATGCTTCTGCATTGTTTAACCAGCGTATAGTAGTGAGCGAGCTCTAATCTTTTTAGAGCATTGAGTGAAGACTAGGCTGAATGTAGGACTAACCCAAACAAGTCTGAATTAAGTTGATGTTTGAGGGCTATAGGCCTAATAAACGTTATTTATAAAGCACCTTTCATGCAAGATACAGCCCAAAGTGCTTTTCTGAGTAAGACAAGATACAAAATAAAGAGTGAGGAGCATAATTAAAAACAGTCTGTAAACAAACAGAAATTGTTTTATCACAGAACCATAAAACAAATTCACATGATGAACACTGATAGCCTACCGCTAAAATGACCTATAGGTCTTTAATTTACTTTTAAAAGTTCCAATGGAGTTTGTTGTTCTAAGATCCAATGGGACTAATATAAGGACTTGCTCTAAAGTTACCTCCAGTAGGCTACAGTGTTCATGAATGTTAATTGAAATAGGCCTACTTAAGATAGCAGCTTTAAAATGTTACTGTGAGGCTGGAACTAGGAAACAGGACCTTATTTGCTCTTAAATAGTGTCTGTCTGATATGCAGCTTTAACTCTGTAGGCCTACGTGATTGTCTGGCCCACTGTACCACCTCCTCACCTGCCTGCGAGCCCCCCACCATGGTGGATCCGTCCATAAAGCAGCAGCTAAAGGCCGTAGTAGTGGCCCGAAAGAGCAGAGAAACGAAGCTCCGAGAGGTCTGTGCTATAAACACGGAGTTTCATCTCCCGAGCAGGTCGCGAGAGAGCGGGAGCTCCATGGCTGACTTCGGCTGTGTGGTGAAGAAGAGTGCGAAGTATTGACACCATCTTGTGACTGGTTGGCTCTGAGCGGTTCACTCACAAGGTGGCGCAAAATGCCTAAATATCCGCTTGTAAAAGAGGAGAGTTGGTGGACTGAGTCAAACTGTTGCTCCTCATGTGGCCACAGTTTCAAGTATTTATTTCCTCTTCCAAGTTACAAGTCTTATTATCTTGCACTACTGCTATCAGTCACGTGAGTAATTAGCTGCATAATGTTCATAGTCCATTCTTTTTTATTGAAAGCATTAGGCCTACTAAAGTATCTGCTAAATTCAAAAGGTAGCCTACTCATTATCCAGAATGTCTCTTTTTTGTGTTTAATTGGATTATAAATTGACTGAAAAAACATGTGAAAATGCTTTAATGTCGATGGAGGTGGTGCCAATGTTAAATACCTTTTACCTTGGGTAGTTTCATCCTAAACAATTCTCAATATTTTATTTGATGATCATGTTTTGTATGTTAATTTGACTCTTGAGGTTACTAGTGTGAAATGAAGGTATAGCTGTGAAATGCCTGTAGGATTACACGTATAATACGTTCTCCTTAAGTGGATTACAATTAAATACAATAAATAAAAAGGTGCCTAGTATGTTTCAAATGAAGTCTTTTATTCATAAATACCAGATAAATAAATAGGGAAGACAGTAAGGGCCTTGTTTTTGAAAAACAGGTTTATTTTTTCTGTGCCACACATCCACTATTGAAAAATAATACTCCCACAAAAGTTGCTACTCATTTCACAATATTCATAATAAAATACAGTTACTTCTTCAATTCTCATGACTTCAGCTGTCTGGAGACGTCTCCGATGGACCGTGACTCTGTCCGACTCCCAGCTGGATTAAAGCCCAGCGCAGGTTTCACGTCCGCCCTCAGGATGTCTGACAAGACTCCGGCTGAGGGGAATGCTTGGAGATGAAACACATTATATGCACCACATCAATTCTTTTTAGAAGAGAAGCTCAGAAGTGTTTTACATTTTGGGTAAGGGCTCTATACAGTATACTGTGCAGGACACACATACAGTACACATAGAAAAACAACGCACCGCTCCATACACTGTTTAGAGGTCAGAGGTCAGGCACTACAATACTGAGGAGAGCAGTGTTGTGAGTGGGTATTCAGCACAGGCAGAGTACAGTATGAGACATATGAAGTGCTACAATCATCCTTATGCATTGACAATATTTTAACAAGACTGTACTGTATTTACACACTATCTAAGAAATAAGTCCTGTAAATAGTGACAGTGATACCTCCTTGTATATTACACAATTAACAGTAGAACTGCTGGCAACCTAAAGCCAAAAAGCTGTAAACATTTTTTTGATTGGCTTGTTCAATCGTCCCTAAAACAATCTTTAGATTTTTTTTAAAGCTGTGTGCCATTTCCTGTTTTTTTCTTAGATGAGACTAA